CCGACTGCCTGAGGGAACCCTGACAGAGGTCTACTTCTATGGGAGCGCACAGCATTGCGCACCCTTGATGCCTCGGAACTTCCAAGGCTATTGTTGGCTAGGGATGGATGATGGATGCCCCACCCATCATGGCATGCGCATCACCAGAGCTTCCGTGCAGCTGAGTCCCATGGTTTCATGGTGCGCCCATTTGGCTGCAGTTTAAAGACAAATAAATCAGCACGCCGATGGTCAAAGTGTTTTGCAAAGCGCCTACCACTGCACATGGCAGGCATTTGCTTCCGCCCACTTAAAGTTGACTGGCCAGTTGAGAACCAACGGTTTTTCGCCAGTCGGGTGTCTGGGAACTGGGTTTCCGGGTTCTGGGAGCGCGTCCATGGTTTAGCACGGGGTTCGTGGCGGGATAGGCAGCAAACAAAACTTATTAGGGATCAACAAACACTTTTTGGGAATCAACCAAAAACATATTAGGGGAATCGGCGGATGAACCCGGATGCATTCTTTGTTGAATCATCACTTCTTCGAACATGATGGCGGGGGCTGCCCCACTGGTTTTTAGAATGTTTACAGAGATAAACGCATCCGTTGTTAAAATCATCGCTTCTTTGCATATCATGGTGGGGGGCTGTCCCCCCCCCCAACCCCCCGCTGGTTGTTTTTTGTTACCACCCTTTGTTGAATCATCGCTTCTTCGCATCTTTGTCTCGCTCTGTCTCTCTCTCTCTCTCTCTTTCTCTTTCTCTTTCTCTTTCTCTTTATCCATTGCGAAACCGCTGCGCCTGTCACGAAATCTGCACCCAACCTTGTGCAAGTGCTGCGCCTGCCACGAAGTTTTCTTTCCTCACCTTGCGAAAGTGCTGCGCCTGCCACAAAATCTGCACCTCACCTTGCGAAAGTGCTTGCGCCTGCCATGAAATGAAGAAGCCTGTTTGATCCCTGATAAATTTTGTTTTATCGTCTGACTTTTCATTTTTTTTTAAAAAAAAAATATAACTCTATGAGAAGAAGTGCTTTTGATCCCTACTAAGTTTCTTTTTGATCTTCAGGAATAAGTTCTTCTTTGATGCCTATTTTTTGATCCCTCACCCGTTCGTGGCACCTTGGTCTTTCCAATCGGGATGGCGCCCTGACGCCTTGGTTGGATGATATAATTTCGCCCACAATGCTTGTGCGAAAATTGCGTTTCGGGCTGCCGCATTTGAGTACCGCTTTGAATCCCTTCAACTGTGGCAATGTTGCGCAGCCGCAGCTATGGGGACGGGAATTCAATTCTGGGAGGCGCCTAAAAATGTGGGTGGTTTGGTTTCCCTTGAAGCAAGCCCGTAAAAGCGTGTAGTAATTTGCGCTGGGTGTGCAAACCCTAGTTGTATGGCTGTTTTGACCCCCAACAAGGACTAACACCTGCGGCAACGGTGGTGTAATTTTGATCCATACCCATATATGTATATGTATATATATATATATATATATATATGCTATTCCCTGAAAAGCACTCATGTCGAGATGACGGTTCGGTATGTCATGAGATCCGAGTTTTGCTGCGCGTAGCCGTGTTACCAAGACTACGCCAAGACTCCAGCAGGTTTGGATGCGGTTTGTGGTGGATCGCCACTGTGAATATTTGTGGAACATTGAACGAGTAGAGCACCAAGAAAGAAAAAAGACAGAGGGAAGGACTGGTGGAATCCGTTTGTTTTCCCGGAAAGTAATCCTATAAAAAGTTTTGCCCTCCACACATGACACACATCTATGTATGCGGAGAGAGTCACCAAGCAAAGAGATTGTTTGCACATGGGTGTGGCTCGAAATTAAACAGGTGGGGTTACGCAGGTTTTGGTCCATGTTTCCACTTACCAGGGTTGATTTTGGTTCCGGTTTTTTGAGCAGCCACATGTCAATCAAGTGACACTTCAGAAAGCCGAAGGAGCTCACTCCAAATCCAACCGAAGGAGCTCCAGCAGCTCCAATTGGGCCTTGCGTGGATTTTGACTCGCTCGAGTCGGATTCGTCACCTTGCAACGGGGACTGTTGACGAATGTCCTTGGTTGTTGTTGGGACACACTCTACATTTTTGCTTGTCGTGGTTTAGTGGTTGAAATCCAACCACTGAAGTGCTAAGACTGCCATTTTTGTTCCACTTCCAAGGTCAACCCACCTTTGGGGCATTCCCTTTAGGGCCGTTTGTGAACAAACCATCCCTGGCTCCAAAGCGCCAAAGCGAGTGGCCCGCAGATTCGTTTCTCACCACTTCGTCCAGAAAACCGATACCCCATGCAATCATTGGGAAAGCAGAATCCCGGTGGCATCACAAAAGTAATGGCAATTCCCACAACCCAGCTCCCAGCAAGACACCCCCACAAGCATTCGTGTCCTTTTTGGTTGATTTGGTTGAAGATTAGAGGACGACTCTTGGTTTGCCTGGTGGCCATCTATTTTCCCAAAAAGGAGACCTATGCCCACAAACGCCCGCACAACCGCCCCGTGGACGTGCGCCCGCTGAGGTGCTGACGCCTACGCTGGAAAAAGAGCGAGCGCTTCTTTCGCTGGTGGACGAAGCATGGTTGTTGTTGGGACACATTTGACATTTTTGCTTATTGTGGTTTAGTGGTTGAAATCCAACCACTTAACTGCTAAATTCAAATTGTTGCTCCCCTTCCAACGTCAACTAAGGAACAGGGAACCAAGCAGTCAGCTCAGCACGAAACCAGCCGCCCTTATGCTGGCGAAACCCATTTGGGTGTGTCTATTTTAGGGGACTCCCAAAATGTGTCCTGTTTTTACCACAGAAAAGGGGGTACCCTCAAAAGACAACGCACCCATCGATCCCAAGCAGACATATCGGTGTTGCACTCGCGGATGTCGGCCTGGCGTCGGCTCAGGTAGTTATTAGGCAGCATTCGGCACGCGCGTGACACGAGTATTTCAATAGCTCCCATGCCAAGGCAAAAAACCGCATCAGACAGAGACTCCGGGTCTTATGAGTCGTCAATTCCAAAGGCGAAAAACTTTTTTCGCCCGGTGTGACAGCTGCCCGAGGAGCGGGTCGCAAAAATGAGAAGCGCGTCGGCATGTTACACAGAATCTGCCGGCCTGGCGCTGAGTTGAAAGTTGACTGACCCAAGCCTCAGTTTGGGGCCTTGAGGGTCCCCCCCCCCACCAGAGGCTTAGGGTTTTTAGGGGTCAAAATGGATCAACATGAGGAGTCTTGAAGCAAGGCACCAGTAAACTCAGAAATGGAACAGTTGGGAGCACATATCAATCCTCCCCCAATGTTTTTTGGCCCAAGCTTTGTTATGGTTTTACGGTGTTGCTTGTGCCATTTGAGCATAACAGTGTTTTTGTTTGTCTGTGTGAAGCATCATCCGAAAGCCTCCTCTAAGGGAAGCACACGGTTGTCGGCGAGTTCAGCGTCGGGTAGCGCGCGTCTTTGTTTTTGCATATCTGGGAAGACCCTTGCACCCACGTCATGGATCCTACAAGATCATGTTCCTTTGAGGACCTTGCCGTTTCATGGGGAATAGGTTCTAGTTGGACCCTTCCAACACCATCGAAACGCGTCCTGACAGCTGAAACGGATGACAGCCGCGACATCTTTTCCCTTTTCGTTGGTTGTCTAGGTATTTTGAGAATGCCTCCTACGCACATCTGACCGCCATAAAGGCTGCGCCAGCAAGGCACCCTTGGGTAGGCGAATTGCTAGGAATCACCCGCATGATTCTCTTCAAGAAGTTGGGATCAAGTTTCGGAATTTCGAGTGCAACCCTTTCCCTTGAAAGGAACGTCATTCTTTTCGGGGCGAAGGAAAGGGCGCACAATCCAACCGGGATGCAATAAATAGTCCTTTAAACTTGGGGTCATTCTAGTTCTACCCAACTGATACTGAGCTCCCCGAGCTCTCCGAAAAGGGCGTAGGAAAGGGCGCGCAATTCGATCGGGATGCATCTGTTGTTCATTTTGTGGGCCATGGCAAGTTGTGCAGATGACAGCCAAAAACACCCGCCAACCTTCCAAACAAACCAGCCAAACAAACAAACCAACCGAGTCAACCAAAGCAGCCCCCAACCAGCCAACCAGCCAGCCAGACAGCCAGCCAGCCAGCCAGCCAGCCAGCCAGCCAGCCAGCCAGCCAGCCATCCAGCCACCGAACCAACCAACAACAACCAACTTACCTAGGCACCAGAAATCAGCAATTACCACTTTTCAGAATCATGTAAACAAGGAATGACACAAGGCACCCTTAGCAAATTGTGATAAGGACATGCGGGTGAAACCCCACCAACCTCCAACGTCAGTCGGGGACTTGCTGAATGTCCGCAGCTGGTATACAGTGCCCATTTCGCAACCGATGTGTATGTTCAGCGCATGTCAAACCCGCGAATTGGTCGAGGTATTGTAGTTGAGTCAACGTCTGGCTTCAGTCGCTAGGTTGTGGACTTCATGGTCAAATCTGCCCAAAGCCATGAGTTTGCCATCAGCCCGAGACAAGACGTACGTCTGAGAGGAATACCCAAGTCTCCCAACGCATACTTGGCCCAGAGAAAGGGGATTTCGGGCATTTGACGTGAGGTCCTTTTGGCATAGGCTACTGGAAGGTTTGGGAACTTCCCCTCATCGACGGATTGTGCTTCCCCCCCCCCCCCCACCCCGCTCCGCAAAGCGCGCATGTTGGGCCCCCTCCCGCACATTAAGCCTCCTGACTTGGTCTTTCGCTTTTCAAATGCTTTTCTCTGAGCTTTTCCAAAGGTTGACCTATGACCGACAGTGAACAGTGAACAGTTGAACAGAGCATTCGGTGGGTTTGTTCCATTCTTCATACAGTTTCATCCAGATGCAACATTTCGTTGCTTCCATTTGGTTAATAATATTTTTTGACTTTCCCCTGTTGGTTTTAAAGGGAATCTATCGCTAGTGTGTGTTTTTTTTCCAGGGGACTCAAGCAAATGGAGGGTTGGGGATGTGAGACTGAGATCTCAGTCCGCCTAGGCTCAAGCTTTGTGGCTATGGCCGAGCGTGCCACTTTTCAGGTGTGTCTGCTCAGCGGAGAGGCGGCAAGCATCTCCAGCTCGCCCAAGACCACCTTGAAGCGGCTGCAGTCGCAGATTTCTGGTGCCTTGCGCAGCAGCAATACACCGCTGGAACTCATCCAACAAGATGTGGATCCAGGCGTGCTGTCGCTTTCGACGCGTGCAGAGGAGATTCACGGCTGCAGCGTGCTGGTGATCTGTCAGGATCATCCAGAATGGTGTCGGCAGAAGTGTTTCCGCAAACAGTCGCCTGAACTTGATTGGGACGTGGAGTCGGAAAGAGCTGAGTGGCTTATGCTTTTTCCGGAGGGGCGATTCATGTACTTTAAGCGAACACGCTTTTGGGATAAGGAGGGTGCTCATGAAACTGTGTGCAAGGAGGAGCTGCAAGGTGAAGGATCATGGTATTGTACTCTACAAGGATCAGACCCTGAAGAGGTAGTGGTGCTTGATGGCCTTTCCGTTTTTCACCGCATGTCTTCGAAGGGTGAGTGCAGTGCAACCCGTCGCAGAATGAACATGGCTTTTGCCAAGCCACAATTGCTGAGCTATGAAATATCGTCACTGGATTGCGCAGAAGAATGCTGGACCGCTAGATTACCAGTGTAATCTTCACCCCTTGGTGAATCGTGAATCGCAACAGGTCATTGTTGACCGGCCAGTGGGTTTCCATAAGCATTGGGTAGCCTTTCGTAGGGACTGTGACATGGCTTGTTTTGCTGGATCCATGGCCTCCTAGATTTCAGGAACCACGTGGTTCACTCTGGGATACCCCTGGCGAATCATGTATGCTTCTCTTTCTTCGCGTGAGGGTCAGCTCATCATGCATGCTGACCTTTCCATGTCCATCGGGGTACGTAGCCAGGAGTCGTACCCTTCCTCCGGCTTTAGAAGATGAAGATCATTTTGAAAAGGCCTTTCCTCGACTTCCTACATTGTTAGGAAAGAGGGGAGAACCTATTGATGGGGGGCTCAGCAAGAAGTGAGCCACAATCAAAACCTGCCGAACCTTAGTGAGGTGCGCATATCCGTGTTGTGTCTTTACCACGAGTTTTGGGGACCCCCCCCCCAGATTTCAGGTTTTGATTGTGACTCAAGTGCAGAGAGTAGATCAGAAGGCAGAGAACATGACAAACACTTTTAGTGACTTTTTCACCTTTTCCTGTCGCTGGATACTGGGAGATTTCCCTGGCTCGACAAGTCCCCTGTGCTCGTGTTGTGTCCCTTGTGCTTCATGTTGCTGTTGGTTCAGAGTACACTTCAGGCTTCGGACATGAAAACGGAGCAGCCAGCCCAGGAGATGTTTTCTAGGTCCCCCAGTGGTGCTTTTTTTTTTCTCGTTTTTTTGGGGAGGGTTCCCCTACAGAAAACAAAGGGTACCCTTATTCTAACCTCTCTACTGGAGGACCTAGTTTTGAATTCATATCCCATCAGAAGGAGAGACCTCTGAGAGACCTCCTTGGGTCATTCCGCTTTGGGATCTGTGGCAGATACCGCACCAAGACTGAGGTACAGGAAAATGGGCTTGACACCTCTGCTGCGGACAGTTGCAACTGGGACAGGCCCCCCAACGTATCAAAGGATTACGCGGAATTTTGCCTTTTATGACTTCATTCATGCCCACTTCGAACTCACAAAAGGGGGGGATTTAAAATGCTTCCGCATTTTGAAGGTGAATAATTGCAATCCACCCTTTCCGCACCCTTAGAGAACCCCCTTTGGAGTTGGTATCCTCCAAACCACTTTTGTGCGGATCCAACTCGGGTCCGCAGGTTGGCCTTGCGGTTTGGAGCTGTCGAAGCTGAGCCCCGGTTTCGCTTTTCTTGAAACCGGGCGGTCAGAGCAGCCCGCTAGCCCAGAAGCTTGGTGGCGCTGCATGTGTCCTAAACATGTCTTGGAGTGGAACCAAAGTGATTTGGATCTCTCATGAAAGGTGACCTGTTGACTGGCTCAATTTGTGGTATTTCCTATCTTGACCCACTTCCATTGACTCTACCGCCGACTCTACCGCTGCATTTCGGCGGCGGGTCTGTCCCTTTACCTGATCCGCTCGCGCGCTGGCTCTCTCTGCGATCTCTCCCTCTCTCTCTCTCTCCCTTGCTGACTCTCCTTCTCTCTCCCTCTCATGCCTATCCTACACCAGCTTCTCTTGCTCAAAGTATGTGGGTGACAAGATCTGACAGGGTCTGCCAGCCCCCAGCCCCCAGATTCACGCCGCCTTTCTCAGCTTTTCACTGAACAGAAGCATGGCACCTCAGAGGGCACCCGGGTCCCCGTCTGACGTCTTGAACACCAAGCAGCCTCGATCTCCATGAGTAACTGCGGTGGGGATGTGTCAAAACAACTGGGGTCCATTGTAGGTGGCTTCGAAATCATGGATGAATGCTTGGACCAGATGATGCAATTCGGATGAATTTGAGGTTCTGTCCAATGAATTTGAGGCTTGGTCCAGGTATGGGCCTAAGACACGGGAACTCATTAAAGTGAAACGCAAGCAGGGGGGCCCTACTGCAACAATGCAGCAGCACACTCACAAATGAGAAGCGCGCACCCGCTCGACTGTACACACGCTCTAACAGCACACTTACCGTTAAATGATATAAGTATATCTGCGACACTGCGCACTCGCTCCAGCAGCATACCTACAATCAATGCAGCGCACCTACAATCAATTTTAATCGCGTGCACGCTTTAGCGGCATTTCCACCTAGCAATGATCTGTACCGTCGCTCGACTGCATGCAGGCTCTAGCAGTGCACCTATACTACCAACCCACCGCCAAGTGATAAGCGCACCTGCTCGACCGCACGCTCGCTTTAGCTGCGCTGCAAAGGCGTGCCTGCTCGACCGCGCGGTTGCTTATGTTACAAGTGTAAGCGCGCCCACCCAACTGCAACGCATGCTAAGCGCACCCTCTCGATGGCAGAAGCGCGCTCTAGCAGCACACTTACCACCAAGCGAAAAGCGCACCCGCTTGACCTTGACTGCTAGCGGCGCATTTGCCACCAAGTGACAAGCACACACGCTCGGCTGAGCACCCGCCCCGGCAGCACACCCGCTATCAAATCTAAATGATAGGCGCACCTGGTCGACTGGGGGCCGTTGTAGCAGCCCGCAATCAAATGGCAGGCGCGCCCGCTGTAGCAGCATGCCCATCGACTGCGCATGCTGTACTAGCAGCACTGCACCCGCCTGCCAGGCTGCGTGCAGGCTCTAGCTGCGCCCTCCATTGAATGACAAGCGCGTTCGCTCGGCTGATCATACCTGCAAATGATTTCTGCGCCCGGTTTACGCGACGTAGTTTGGTACTTGGGCGTGTCTTCTGCCAGGCTCACCAGCTCAAGCGCGCCCGCTCAGCACTGGCGCGCATGCCTGCCACATGATAGGCGCACCCTCTCAAGTGCACCCACTCAGCGCTGCGCAAAAGCCCGCCAAACGGTGCAGCGCCGCGCACATGCCTGCCAAATCAAACGGTACACGAGCTCACGCTCAGCGCGGTGCACGTGCCTGCCAAATGGTAAGCGTACCTGCTCTAGCGCGCCTGCTCAGCACTGCGCACATCTTGCCTGTCCGACTCACACACGTTTTCCTGGCGCGCCTGCCGTCTTGCGCGGCTGACACGGACCATCGTTCGAGACCTTGCCTTGCTCACTTTGCGCGCGTCCGTGTTTCCGTGGCGCGCCCGCCGTCCTACTCGTAGCTTCCGCACCTCGTGTCCTTGTCCACACCACCCGAGTTGTCCGGCACACAGCGTTCGACAAAGCGTGCAGCGCCGTCCAGTACAACCCATAGCACCGTCCCGTTGTCCGACGCCAACATTCTGCGATGTCCGGCTAGCACACTCCGCCGTCCGACTCAGCACGTTCGACACGGCAAGTGGCGACGCGCACACACAGACAACACACGCACACAACCAACACACACACACACACTCATCCACCCATGCACTCACGCATGCACGCACGCAAGCACGGACATAGACATTGACATAGACATAGCCATTCATTGACATGGTCACGCGGGCGACACACGCAGCCGCACACCCCCCCCCCCTGCCCTGCCCACGCCTATGTTTACAAGCATTCGCATGCAAACGCGCATGTCGCCTCACAGGCACACAGACGCACACGCACACGTGCATATGCTCACGCGCACACGCGCACGCTCATGCGTGTGCGAAGCCACACCCGTGCACAGAGCTTGTCTGCATATACGCATATATATATATATATATATTCATATATATGTATATATATATATATATATGTGAATCATTCAATTGAATCTCCACACTGGCTTGCGTGCGCACTCGCGCGCACCTACGTGGGACGGGCGCAAACAGGAGCCTGAACCAAGTTTCGACTTTTGCAACAATGACTTTTAAAGATGGTTCTTGACTGAGCATGTGAACCATAACACCCCTCACACCACCGTTGGCAATTTGCTGCAGAATCAAGCTTTGTGTGTCCTTGGGCGCATCACAGCTATGGCCGCTCGCTTGCAACACTTTGATCACGCTTCATTTGACGCGTGTCTTCTAAGCGGGGAGGCCACAGTAATCTCAACCTCACCCTCTGCGACACTAAAAGCACTACAGTTGCAGATATCTGGTGCCTTGGGCAGAAGTGGCAACACGCCCCTGGAACTTATTCGTCTTGATGCAGAACCAGGCGTGCTGTCGCTTTCGACGCGTGCAGAGGAGATTCACGGCTGCAGTGTGCTGGTGATCTGTCAGGATCATCCAGAATGGTGTCGACAGAAGTGTTTCCGCAAACAGTCGCCTGCTCTTGATTGGGACGTGGAGTCGGAAACAGCTGAGTGGCTTATGCTTTTTCCAGAGGGGCGATTCATGTACTTTAAGCGAACACGCTTTTGGAATAAGGAGGGTGCTCATGAAACTGTGTGCAAGGAGGAGCTGCAAGGTGAAGGATCATGGTATTGTACTCTACAAGGATCAGACCCTGAAGAGGTAGTGGTGCTTGACGGCTTTGCTGACTGGCATCACACTTCTTTCAAAGGTGAACCGAGCACCACCCGTCGCAGAATGAACTTGACATTTCCGAAGACGGTCTTGCTGAGCTATGAATCGTTCTTGCTGCATTGACTGCGACGAAGTCAGTGATGATCGCCACGATCAACCTTTTGTTCCGATTCGATTCCGATCTTTAAAGCTCATGCGCCCAATTTTAGTCAGCGGCAATGAGGCAGTGACTCACCCGTTTTTCCTTCTTTGCGGGGGGGCGCAACGCCTTTTCCTCGACGGCTTTGCTCGCCCTTCCAGCTACAATTTCAATCCGAGTTCTTGCACCTTGATCAGTGGGCCAGGACGGCTAATAGCGACCCCAGATTAATGGGCTCCCGTACTTCAAGCCGGCAGTGACGATGTGGCCATGGGTCAAAACCAATGGGATCCCATTTTGGTAGGTGAATTCACCACCCATTTTAGGCTTCCTATTTTCGCGGTTGGATTAACTATATATTCACTGAGGGCTACATCCGATTCAGATTTTCGCCCATGGCCTGGCCCCACAGACCTTCCACCGGAGTCGATTAATCAGGGGCCGACGTTAGCCATTCACAGGCTGTGCCCATGTGCAAGGCCCGAGCTCAACAGCTTCGCGAGTGGCCCAAAAGTTCCAAAAGCAGCGAAACGGATCTCGGATCCGACTCGGATCTCGGATCGGATCCGGCGGGAGGTGGTTTTCAGTCTTTGATAGCGTAGGGGTTTGGTGTCAAGCCCAGCCATCCGAATCGGTTCCTTAGCTTCTTCGCCTTTTAGTGTTTAGTGGCGGTTTCCGAATTCAACCCACTAAAAGTGAGTCACTGTTAGCGGGGGATCTGAGGGCAGAGAAGATTTGATTGGCCCACCGGGTTTTCCTTTTGGTGGAAAACAAAGGCTCCAGCGATGCGGTATTTTTTCTTCTTCAGAAGAATCCCTCTTGGGTCAACCAACCCGTGACCTCTTCGCATGCGGAATGCGGACTTGGGGTAGACACCAATGCTCCAAAAAATCCCACTCGAACGGAGATTCTCCATCCGCGGTCAGCACTGGGGAACAATGGTTTTCATGTGTTGTGGTTTCTTTACCTGCGACATGTGTGTTTAGGCTATGAATTTTAATAGGGAACCAGCCTTGGGATAAGGAGATGGTTCCAGGCCTCCCAAATGCGAAGACTTCCTGAAAAGGCCGTGCAGTATGGAGGAAGGTTGCAATTCCCACCATGCTTTAGTTCCACTGCAACATACTGGACCCAAAAAAACAAAAACGCAGCTTGTGTTTGGGGGAAATCCAGTGAACGGGAATGCCTCAACTCAGATGAGTGAATGAAAGGTGCGGATGACTTCCCGAGCGGGACTTGGGGTGGTAGGCCCTTTGTGTGCTTTGTTTTGATCGTACCGTTTGAAAGGGAGAGGAATCCAACGTCCCATTTCCGGGCTTGCCACATTAAGAAGCCATAGGGGGGAACCCTCGAAAAGAGTTTGCCTTTTTCCCCGGTATCCGATACCCAAAAAGACGCAACCCAAAGGTGCCCCTCAAAATATCAGCGCATTTGATTAGCCATTTGGTTTCGCGCCATGCTGTCGAAACCAAATCCGAGCATTGACCATTGGTGCCCCGAATTTTCCACACACACAGCCCATATGACTTCATACATTCGTGCCGCAAAGTTGGGCGTACAGGGATTGCTGTTCAAGCTTATCCTTTGCTAGGTCCCCTCTCACCCTTTGTTGGGGGAGGGTTCGCCTACTAAAATAGACTGGAGACCAAAGGGTACCCTCATTCGAACCTCTCTACTGGAGCACCTAGTTTAGTAGTCCTTCTTTCTTCAAGGAACAACTGTTGCCGTGAAGGATCCTCTGGTGGGAGTTCTGGCCACAATTCACCGAGAACAGTGTACATGGTTGTGGAAATTGAAGGGGGGTTTTTGGTTGGGTTGGGTAGCCACTTCTTTGTGCTCAAAGTCATGTCCTACAAATGCCCCTGCAGTAGCTGTCAACGTCGAGATCGCAAGTTCCTTTGGGCTTGCCAGTGTTGACATCGCCGAAGTCAGCTTCTTGCCTCCGGATGTTTGCATTCTGGGCAAAACAACTTTTTCCACCGGCCCGAGAGTTGGATGAGTCTTGCTATGGATGCGTCCAAGTAGTAATGTTTGTGCCAAATGGGAGTGACCTGAAAGGGGCCCGTTTGAAACAGTGGCTCGTGCTCTCGGAAGGTTCTAGTAGGTAGGTAGGTTGCTGGGGGAGCGAGCCAGCATGATTCCGGGCTCATCCAGCTTGTCGCTGAGGGCCGGCCGGCCCACATTATGTTTTTTGTGGCTGCAAAACCTACCTCAAGTCTAGTTGTTTGTGGCCGCACCAGCCAAACAGGCCGGGCTGCTTTTGCCAACACCGACAGAATGGGAGCCCAGGAAGAATTAACTTGTGGGAGGTCCCCTGTTAAAGGAGATCCCGCACTTTTCTGAGACAATCGAGAAAGTGAGGGCATCCGCACAAAAAAGAAGCCCTCGCTCGCCGCTCGCGGTTTCCGGGAACGCGCGCGCGAGGATCGTGGATGCGGTTCTTCTCTACGAAGGCGAAGAAGCCGCATACCTACCAGGCCTGGAAAATCTGACTTGCAATTTTGGGTCTCCGTGTTTGTTTTTGAGTCCTGTGTAAAACCTTCGCCGCACTCCACGGTTTGGGACTACCTTCAACCATGCCGTCGAGAGAGAGCATGCCTTTTCAATGCCCCGAGACAAAGCTATTACCTTGCTTCATGTCCGGGTAGGTTTGAACGTTCGCCAGTTAACCATGGGTCAAAACCAATGGTACCATTTTGGGGTAGGTGCACCACCCATTTTAGTCTATTTAAGCGTGGATTGGGATGTTCACGGACTTGAAGTGGCAAGTCGTTCATTCAAATGGGTGGCACCGGATCGAAGCAACCCACGACATTTTTTTGCGACTTGTGGACTTGTGTCTAGTTGTGGATCTCAGGTGTGTCTCTGAAGGGGCGCCGGGCGATTTCGAGGAGGTCCTTCTGCTTATGTTCAGTTCGATGTTTTGCCACACCGAAGGGAAAGCCACCACAAAGCAACGGAACCGGGGGAAGCAAAAATTACACCAGCAGAGACCCCAAACAGTTGAGGGCTGACGGGCGAGCACAAACATGCCAACAGCTTGTGGCTTTCTGCGCTTCAACACGGATGAATCAAAATGATGCAGTCGTGAACCTGGCGCGCGTTGCGTTGCTGCACGTGTGTTGCTGGCATGCTTCGCGCTTCAGCACCGCGCCAGAACTGAGGTTGGGCAAGCGCGCGCGATGGCGGGCGAGCGCGCGCGCGTGAACGCAAGTGTGGCCGCGCAAGCACGCAGTCACATGGGCAGTTCAAACACACATGTCCAATTCAGACACACATGTGTGTACACGTGGAACACACATACGTATACGACTGAAACAGTATACATTCACCTGCGGCACACGCATAAATGTGTTGAGCTGGAAAACAAACATGTGCTTCTTGGAAAGCACACACACACATGTGCAAACGTGGAACGCACATATGTGTTCACTTACGACACGCTAATGCGTTCACGTGGAACACACATGTGTGTTCACTTGGAACACAATGAAACGCGTGTCCAATTCAGACACACATGTGTGTACACGTGGAACACACATGCGTTCACCTGGAACACAAAGACGCGCAATTAAAGCACACATGTGTGTACGCGTGGGACACACATATGTATACCACTGGAACACAAACATGTGTCCACCTGGAACACCGCGTGTGCGATTAAAGCACACATGTGTGTACATGTGGAACACACATATGCGCACACGTGAGCAAACATAAATGCTCACCTAAATCGCACACACATGCGCGCACCTCGAAAACAATCATGCGTTTTCTGGAGCGCATACATGTGCACACCTGGAGAGCAAATATGTCGTCAGATGCTTGGAACACACATGTGCGTACACGTGGAACACACATATGTGCACACGTGAACACGCATATGTGCACACGTGAACACTCACATATATGTGCACCCGGAACACACACCCGTGTGCTCATCTGATAACAACCATGTGTTCTCCTGGAACACAAACACGTGTCCAATTGGAACACGCATGTGTGTACACGTGAACACACATATGTGTACACGTGGGAGACGCAAATGCGCACACGTGAACACACACACATGTGCACACGTGGAACACACACATGTGTACTGCACATGTGAACACACACATTTATGCGCGCGCGGAAAACACAGACACACACGAGTGTTCATCTGATAACAAACACGTGGTCTCCTGGAACACAACCGTGTGTCTAATTGGAACACAACCGTGTGTACACGTGAACACACATATGTGTACACGTGAACACACACATATTTATATATATATATATATGCGCACCCGGAACACACACACACACGTGCGTTCATCTGAAAACAAACATGTATTCACCTGAAACACAAACACGTGTCCAATTGGAACAAACATGTGTGGACACATGAACTCACAAATGTGTACATGTGGAACACACATATGTGTGCAAATGAACACACATACATGCGCACGCGGAGCAGACACACACACACACACACACGCGTTCATCTGATAACAAACATGTGTCCTCCTGGAACACAAACACGTGTCCAGTTGGAACGCACATGTGTGCACGCGCGAACACACAATGTGTGCCGTGAACACACATACAAAAAAGTGCACGCGGAGCAGACACACACGCACGTGTTCATCTGATAACAAACATGTGTTCTCCTGGAACACAACCGTGTGTCTAATTGGAACACAGACGTGTGTACACGTGAACACACATATGTGTACACGTGAACACACACATATATACGCGCACCCGGAACACACACACACACGAGTGTTCATCTGAAAACAAACATGTGTTCACCTGGAACACAAACACGTGTCCATTGGAACACACATGTGTGTACACGTGAACACACATATGTGTACACGTGGGAGACGCAAATGCGCACACGTGAACACACACATGTGCACACGTGCAACACACACATGTGTACTGCACATGTGAACACACACATTTATGCGCGCGCGGAAAACACAGACACACACGAGTGTTCATCTGATAACAAACACGTGTTCTCCTGGAACACAACCGTGTGTCTAATTGGAACACAGACGTGTGTACACGTGAACACACATATGTGTACACGTGAACACAGCACACGTGGAACACACACATGTGTACTGCACATGTGAACACACATTTATACGCGCGCGGAAAACACAGACACACACGAGTGTTCATCTGATAACAAACACGTGTTCTCCTGGAACACAACCGTGTGTCTAATTGGAACACAGACGTGTGTACACGTGAACACACATATGTGTACACGTGAACACACACATATTTATATATATATATATGCGCACCCGGAACACACACACACACACGTGCGTTCATCTGAAAACAAACATGTATTCACCTGAAACACAAACACGTGTCCAATTGGAACACACATGTGTGGACACGTGAACACACAAATGTGTGCACGTGGAACACACATATGTGTGCAAATGAACACACACACATGCGCATGCGGAGCAGACACACACACACACACGTGTTCATCTGATAACAAACATGTGTCCTCCTGGAACACAAACACGTGTCCAGTTGGAACGCACATGTGCGCACGCGTGAACACACAATGTGTGCACGTGAACACACATACAAAAAAAGTGCACGCGGAGCAGACACACACGCACGTGTTCATCTGATAACAAACATGTGTTCTCCTGGAACACATACACGTGTCTGATAAGAACACACATGTGTGTACACGTGAACACACATATGTGTACACGTGCAACACGCATATGTGCGCACGTGAACGCACATATGTGTACATGTGGAACACACATATGTGCACACGCGAACACACACACACACACATATATATATATATGCGCGCCCGGAACACGCACACACACACATGCGTACACCTGGAACACATATGTGTGTATGTCTGGAAAGCACATTTCTGTTCACCTGCAACACACATATGTGTTCACCTGGAACCCATATATGCGCTCACTTGGAACAGGCATTTGTGTTCACGTGCGACACTGGTGCAGACCTGGATCACACAAGCATGTTTAACCAGAACAAACTTCTGTGTTGACTTGTAACACACATATGTGTACACATGGAACACACGTGTGTGCACATGTGGAGAAACATGTGCAACACAAATGTGCAACACACATGCGTTCACCTGGACAACAAAAATGTGTTCACATGGAATTTACATTTCCTGCACGCCTGGGCGACACATAAATCAAGTTCCCGAAGCCGGCTGTGAGGCGCTATTCCATGGGGCTCTGCCTTGAACAACGCTTGTGTTTTATATGCGTGTTCCAAGTAGGAAAATAGTGTTCGTGTACGATCAATCTAGCTTTTTTGCAACACATTGCTAGCGCGCGAGCCTGCTGCTGCTGCTGCTGCTACTACTGCTAGTACTATCAGTATCGGATGCGTCTCCAGCAGTTACAGGCTTCAGCTTAGCAAAAGCTTTCCGGCGCATTGCGCTTCTTTCTCGCTTAGCTGCACAGTGTCTTTCGTATCGATTGCTAAAGTGCTTTGATCGTATTGTGGCAACTCTTCGTATCGATTCAGTAAAGCATTTGCTTTCGCAGGGAAATACGCAACCCAATTCTTCCGTATGCTCGGTACAAGGCATCCCTGCCGTCTTGCCTCAGCCGTTGTTTCTCCCCTTTGTCCAGCAAATCGCACTCCATGATAATTGCATGCGAGGAGAGCGGAAGCAAATTTGGATTGAAGCGTAACTGGGAACCGGTCACAGCTGACCACTGCGCTAGCGCCTTGCTAGCGCGCGGCTAGCGCGGGTTCGCCGTATTTTTTGGAGTCACGGCGACCATCTGTGTGGATTTGACAAATTAAGGCCACGTAAGATGAAGGTAAACGTGCGGGCTGGCTTCAAGTACTAAGTAAGAACTGCAACATTACACCCTTGAAAGCCACGCAAAGCCCATCGCGGCAACCCACGCGCCAACTCTTGGAAACCAAGATCACCGAAGACCCTAGCGCAAACCAAGCGCCATCCTAGCGCCTCCAGTGGGGAGCGGGCAATCCATTGGTATTTGCAGGACTCCGCTTTGTGTGAATGAAAAACGGGTCGAGATTTAATTTGGGTTTTTTTTGTTTTATTTTGGGATTTTTTTGTTTTCCGTCCTGGCTACTAAAATGCTGTAATTTACAGCATTTTCTCGCGAAATGTACGTATTTTACGCTAGTCCGTCAACATCATCAGCATCGTTTTCAACATCCCCCGCATGTCCAGCCAACATCCCCAGCATCACCAGCAAATTGGCTTCCCGCATCTCATGGTAAAAGTGAGGATTCAAATACGGGCAAACTAATCCCTGTAAAACACCTAAAACGTGGCGGCAGCCCCCCCCATGATGATCGAAAAAGTGATGATTCAATCAGGGGCAAAAAGTCTAAAAAATAGCGGGGGGGTTGGGGGGGGGCGCCACCCCCCCCCATGATGATCGAAAAATTAGGGGCAAAGAATCTAAAAAGTAGCTGTCGCATGATGATCGAAAAAGTGATGATTCAAATAGGCGTGCATTTTAATCGAAAGGGGGGTGGCGGGGGCCCAGAGAGGAACTGGCGATGCTGAGGATGCAGGAAGCCAACTGGAAAAGCATCAGGATGCGAAAAGCCAAAGCCAGAAAGCCGCCAAAAGCCAAAAAGCCAAAAAGCCAAAAAGCCACCTGCCGCAGCGGAACTGGCAATGCAGAGGATGCGAAAAGAGAGGAACTGTGAATGCAGATGATGCGAAATGAAAAGCCACGAAAGCCACAAAAACCCACGTAAAAGCCACAAAAGCCAAAAAGCCGAAAAGCCACCGACCCTGAAAAACAAAAATAATTCCTAAAAAAAAACGAAAAAATCCTAAAAAAAATGGCCCTCCATTTAAAACTGCACAAAGTGACTGCGACGGTGGCCTCTGTAGACTAAACCCCCTTACTAGGAATTTTGACCGGATCGCATATGTGTTTTATCAGAACAATCGCATGCTTTCACCTGGAACACAAACATGTGCTGACGTGGAACACACTCATGTGGTCACATGCAAAAAGTGCGTGTTCACTTGGAACGCGCCGATGTGGTCAGCTGGAACACACCAAGAACACACAATCATTTACTTGAAGCACTCGTACGTGCATCCGCAGCATGCTGCCTGTGGCTTGATCAAGCGCACGCGCGCGCTCAAACACACGTTTCTGAGCCTCAAACACACATGCGTGCCCGCGGAATACACCGCGAATGACCAGGGAGCCGTGCCAGGCATCCAGGCTGAGGGACAACAAGAAGGAGACAAAGGGAGACAAATGAACCCGTCCGCCCGGAGAGCCGTGCCAGACATCCAAGCTGGGAGACAAACGAATCCGTCCACCCAGAGAGCCGTGACAGGCATCCAGGCTGGGAGACAACCGGGGCCAAATAAAGGGAGACAAAGGGAGACAAATGAATCTGTCAGGCAAATGAAGGGAGAGGAACCCGTCCGCCGGGAGAGCCGGGACAACCCCAGGTGCCAAGAGCACCACTGGGTATCTCGGCGTAGGTTCGTTGAACATCATCAAAGAATCGATAGACGATTTAACTCCAGCGTGATTCACGTTTGTTTCACCGGGGGGTTAACAGAGCCTTCTCGTAGCTGAAGCCGTGCACCGCAGCGCACCGCTCTCGTCAGCTCGGGACTCCAAATGCGAGCAAGGACAGAGAGAGGCCGCAACTGATAACGAGGCACTGAACGAACAGACAGGGTGTAGCCAACGATAGACAAGGAAGACGACCCACCACGAGCCCAAGCAAAATCGAAGTCCAGATGAAGGGCAGACAGAGGACCCTGTCCCCAACATCCACAAGACAAGGAATGACCGAAGCCAGGGCCGAAGCCGAAGGCAAACCAGACCCCGCCAAAAGGACAGAACCGCGGGAAGTGAAGGAAACCGCGGAGCGTGAGTGCCACACATCCAGGCTGGGAGACAACGGGAGACAAATGAATCCGTCCACCCAGAGGGGCATCCAGGCTGGGAGACAACGGGAGACAAACAAAGGGAGACAAAGGGAGACAAATGAATCCGTCCACCCAGAGAGGCATCCAGGCTGGGAGACAACGGGAGACAAATAAAGGGAGAGACAAATCAATCCGTCCACCCACAGAGATGGGAGACAAATGAAGGGGAAATAAGGGAGACAAGTGAATCCGTCCGCCTGGAGAGCCGTGACAGACATCCAGGCTGGGAGACAAGGGGAGCCAAATGAAGGGAGACAAAGGGAGACAAGTGAAACTGTCCACCCAAAGAGCCGTGCCAGGCATCCAGGCTGGGAGACAACGGGAGACAAATGAAGGGAGACAAAGGGAGACAAATGAACCCCTCCACCCCAGAGAGCCGTGACAGGCGTCCAGGCTGGGAGACAACCGGGGCCAAATAAAGGGAGACAAAGGGAGACAAATGAATCCGTCAGGCAAATGGAGAGGGAGACAAATGAACCCGTCCGCCGACTGGGTATCTCAGCGTAAGGTTCGTTGAACATCCTCGAAGAATCGATAGAGGATTTAACTCCAGCGTGATTCACGTTTGTTTTAGCGGGGGGTTAACAGAGCCTTCTCGTAGCTGAAGCCGCGCACCGCAGCGCACCGCTATCGTCAGCTCGGGACCGCAACTGATAACGAGGCACTGAACGAACAGACAGGGTGTAGCCAACGATAGACAAGGAAGACGACCCACCACGAGCCCAAGCGAAATCGAAGTCCAGATGAAGGGCAGACAGAGGAGGACCCTGTCCCCAACATCCACAAGACAAGGAATGACCGAAGCCAGGGCCAAAGCCGAAGGCAAACCAGACCCCGCCAAAAGGACAGAACCGCGGGAAGTGAAGGAAACCGCGGAGCGTGAGTGCCACACATCCAGGCTGGGAGACAACGGGAGACAAATGAATCCGTCCACCCAGAGAGCCGTGCCAGGCATCCAGGCTGGGAGACAACGGGAGACAAATAAAGGGAGACAAAGGGAAACAAATGAATCCGTCCACTCCACAGAGATGGGAGACAAATGAAGGGGAACCAAGGGAGACAAGTGAATCCGTCCGCCTGGAGAGCCGTGACAGACATCCAGGCTGGGAGACAACAGGAGCCAAATGAAGGGAGACAAAGGGAGAAAAGTGAATCTGTCCACCAAAAAAACAGTGCCAGGCATCCAGGCTGGGAGACAACGGGAGACAAATGAAGGGAAACAAAGGGGTGCCAGACATCCTGGGAGACAAAGGTAGACAAATGAACCCGTCCACCCAGAGAGCCGCGCCAGGAATGAAGGGAGACAAAGGGAGACAAATGAACCCGTCCACCCAGAGAGCCGTGCCAGGCATCCAGGCTGGGAGACAACGGGAGAAATCAAGGGAGACAAAGGGAGACAAATGAACCCGTCCACCCAGAGAGCCGTGCCAGGCATCCAGGCTGGGAGAGAACGGGAGACAAATGAAGGGGACAAAGGGAGACACATGAACCCGTCCACCCAGAGAGCCGTGCCAGATCCAGGCTGGGAGACAACGGGCGACAAATGAAGGGAGACAAAGGGAGACAAGTGAATCTGTCCACCCAGGCATCCAGGCTGGGAGACAACGGGAGACAAATGAAGGGAGACAAAGGGAGACAAATGAACCCGAGCCGCGCCAGGCATCCAGGCTGGGAGACAAATGAAGGGAGACAAAGGGAGACAAATGAACCCGTCCACCCAGAGAGCCGTGCCAGGCATCCAGGCTGGGAGACAACGGGAGACAAATGACAAAGGGAGACAAATGAACCCGTCCACCCAGACTGGATCATCCAGGCTGGGAGACAACGGGAGACAAATGAAGGGAGACAAAGGGAGACAAGTGAACCCAGGGAGACAAACGAACGCGTCCACCCAGAGAGCCGTGCCAGGCATCCAGGCGGGGAGACAACGGGAGACAAATGAAGGGAGACACAGGGAGACAAATGAACCCGTCCACCCAGAGAGCTGTGCCAGGCATCCAGGCTAGGGCTTGGCAACAGGCGAGCCACCTTAAATGAATTTAGAACCCCTCACAGTAAACTGTTTGGGGAAAAAAAACGCCTCAGGCACAAATCCAAGTGGTGGTCTCCCCTATTCCAATCGTTCGGTCGGTGACCGTGAAATTACATGAACACCAGCGGGCGTCCTTTGCTTTTGAATTTGGACCTTTGGTATTCTATTTGGGTCTGTCAGTTGGTAGGGAATTTGTGACGTATCCAACTGACAGAGCAGTATCATTGCTTGCCTGTGAAAACGATGGTCGGAACAAGGGGAGGTCAGATTGAGTTTGCGTATTGCCCCTGCCCCACTTGTCATTTGAAGAACCGCTCGGGGGGCCAACGAAAAAGCGAGACATATCGACCTGCAAACTGAAATCCGGGCCCATTCAATACCGACAATGCAGGAATATTGATCCTTACTTGGCCCCATTAGGCCTTGCTTTGCCGTGCTTTTGCTTTCTTCGCCAACTTGGGAGGGGGTCGAAGATGGTCCTTCGCTATTTGGGGGAACACCACTCTAATCCACCAGGTTTTATTTAGTCCAGGGTCAAGATTCGCCCCAAACCAGTACCCCCAGGGTTCAATGGGATATGCAACTACTTCATAGCCACGATGCAGAAGGGATTATACCCTGCTTTTCTCCTGGGAGCAGTGACATCCCCATATAAGAATCAACCAGAACCTCATCCCAGGTCAAAGTTCACGGACACCATCTCAGAGAAATGGTTTAAAGCCCCCAACCCCCCCAACCCCCCAACCCCCCCACCCCCAACCCCACCCCCAACCCCACCCCCAACCCCCCCAACCCCCCCAACCCCCCAAAGCCCCCAACCCCCCAAAGCCCCCAACACCCCAAGCCACGGGCTATGGACCGACCGAGCCCCCCGGCTGTGGGTGACGCGGGCCGCGTCGGAAGGTGGTGCTGGCGGCTTCGGAGCTGGGGCCCTACGTGCCGGGCCTGGGCCAGGCCTTCCACACCTCGGTGCTGGTGGACAACGTGGAGCCCCTCGGACCGAAAGAAAAATTTGAGCCACGTGCTCCAAAACCCGAAATTGACGAAGCTTAGTAAAGGACGAGAACCAAAATAGCCGCGGGATTCCGCCTTCCTAGTTCCTTACATGGTTCTGGGTAGACCATTTTAGTACCGGGTTTTGAGCAAGTGACTCAAATGAGCGGGCTCCAAAACCGATGCCCGGGAGGAAGGTGAAGGGACAATTTTCTGGCCAGAAATGGTTGCGGAATGTTGCGGAGATCCCCCAGTAGTGCCCTTTCTCTCCCCTTTTTTGATTGGGAAGGTTCCCCCCTACCAAAACAGACTCCAGCAAAAAGTCGGGAGATCCCTTATTCTAAGCTCTGAAATCCGGAAGACCTAGTGAATCTCTTTACATGGTTCTGGGTAGATTTGGATACCGGGCTTTGAGCACTCAAAGGGACTCAAGGCCGGGGCCACCGGGACCCGGGACCCGGAACGTTGTTTTCTCCCGATTTCGCAAGCGTTGAAGGAGACAGGTCTGGATGTTTGATGCTTGGGACACATTTTTTCGCATTTTCGTTTATTGTGGCTTTGTGGTTGAAAGGTTGAAATCCAAATCCACTTAGCTGCTAAAATTTAAATGGTTGCTCCCCTTTCAACGTTAACCAAGGTTTGGTGGACAAAGATCTCCCTAGGCGTCCTGTGGAGGCAAGTCGTGCTTCCTGAGATGACTCGTTCAAAAGTGAACAGTGCTGCGACTCAGTGGAAACTAATTCTTGCCCAAGTATGCTTGTATAGTATAAAGGACACAACTTGGTTTTTTTTCCAGGGGGTTTCTTTCCGGGGGGTGGCAATTTAGATACGTCAGTATAAGCGCAGATGTTTTTATTCTGGACCTCCAAAGTTTGAGTCCCTTCAGTGGATTCCAAAAGCCCCCAAGCCGAGCCCGGTTTTTTGTCTGGGATTTTGGAGGTCGGACCCACTACAAACTGGGCAACTGCGAAAAGGGCTCTTTTTGAACCATGGTCACTGCAACACGAGAGTGTCTTTTTTGAGGCTTGGTACCCTTTTGTGGGTTTGTTTGAAGGGAAGGCCAAAAGGAACCCCGAAGAGATTTGGGGGGTCTCCTAAAAGAAGGAGACACCCCCCACAGGATAAGGGGGACTACCATTTGTAGCAAGCAATGGGCAAGGTCCGGAAGTCAGGAGATTGAGAGAGGAGATTGTGTCCGGATCGATCACCAACAAAAGCTAGCCCCGGAAGTACTCTCCGACATTTCTGAGTGGTGCCTCCACATCTTCTTGAGCCACCTAAGCTGGCGGCTGTTTTTGTTTTTCCTTCAGAACCCCAGAACACTCTGGGAGCTCCGCTGGGTTGCTCCCTTCTCGGGGCTTTCCTTTTCCTCTCTTCTTGTGATAGGGCTCCTTAAAAAAAACATGTTGCCCATTTGAAACATGGCTTTTTCAACACCAACATAAAGGGGCACCACCATTCACAAGTTGCAATGTTCAGGTGTATGCAAGGATCCCTCTGATTTGCCCAAGAGATGCGTCCAGCTTAAAGTCCATTGAAGCTGCATGGGTCCATTTGTCTTCAGGGTGGGCAACCCTTTAAGCCAAAGCTGGGGGTGCTTACTCCCCCCCCAAAACTGGTTGAAACTCATGGAGTCCACGCCTAGAAATCAGTAATGGTCATCCAATGGACGAAAAGCCAGACTCGTTGATAAGGTCTAGCCAACAGTATCCTGTCAATTTGACAGTCACACACCTGTTCTAACTCTTTGAGCTCTAGCAAGGTATAGGAAGACACAAGCCAATCCCCGGGATAGGATTTCCTACGCTGAAATCAGAGGGCTTCACCAGCCATCGCAATGCGAGCGGCTTATCTGCACCCGGAAAACCAAAAGTTTCTTACTTCTTCCGGCCGCCGTGGCCTTTGAAAGGGCGGAAGAAGCCTTGCTTCTTTTTTCTCTTTTTTCCGTGCCGGCCGGCACGGATCCTGTTGCCATGTGTTGGCGCCAAGAGGTACAAAAAGGCTTTCGACGAAGAAGTGTTGGTTGGCTGGGGGAAAAAGAACACTTGGGCAGTCATGACCGACATTGGGACTCCTCTACCCAACAAGCTTTCATATGTCGAAGAACCTGTTGGAAGGTTCCAACACTCCCTGGGCAAGTCTGATGTGCTTCCCAACAGTAGATCTCGCCAAGGAAATCTCTCAAAATGAGGATGCCACAAATTGAGTAGGCCCTCACTCTCTTCGAAACAAAGTAGACCTCTGAAAATGCTTGGTTTCCCCCTTGGCAAGTTCAATTCACCACCATTCTTTCCGGGTCTCGATCTGGGAGCTTTGGTTTCTGAGCTGATCCCGGATGCCCTCGGATGGTTTCAAACATTTGCCCTGGTTTTGAAAACGCCGTTGGTTTGTAAGCCCATGGAATCCGCGAACCCATCAAGGCCCCGCGAATACCACATGCCAACGGTCTTCGGAGTTTGGAGCTTTCCTTTGGGACTCGCCAAAGATGGGCTTAGCGGCTTCTGCTTTTGCCTTTTCGTTTGAAATGGTGGCTCGTGTTCGCGAAGAGTTGGCCCGTCGCTTAGGATCGGTGAATGAATCGTTTGGCCAGCTGTTTGGTTTTCTGTTAGTTGGCTTTGTTCATTTTCAGTAGGGGGCTGCAAAACACCGAGTTTTTTTGCTACCGCACCAAGAGTTGTAAAGTCATGATCCCCAATCATTCGAGGACTAGCAATTTCCAAGGGCACAACGTGCCAGGTGCTATGTAGAATCAGTTTTGTTTTCATCATGTCCCAAATACAATGAGTTCATACAGGGTGTATGAGCCAATGCCAATAGCGCCACTCCAGACGCGCGTGTTGGGTCAACTTTCGGTCACAGGAAACAGTTGAGCCCCATTTTGGCAACAGGTTGGCGCCCCTAGGCCAATTCCTGTTCTTAGCAAATGTGATCCCAATCTGCTCGGAGGCAACCCAAAAGGTTCCCAATCCCCGCAATAGAGAGCTTGGAAAGTCGGATTGAGGTTTCCATTTGGGTGTGAATTCTGCTTGGGGGACGCTCTGGCATCATTCATATACTTGGGATCAACCCATTGTCAAACATGTTTCCCATCAACATGTGTATCAACCATGGGGGCAGAACCCCGCGACCTTGGTAGTTTGGCTTTCTTTTGGTTCTCTCAAAACTTGCCCCATGGCAGTTCAGCTTTCTTTTCTCTTAAAACTTACCCCAGAAAAATCTCCCCCAAATCTTCTTCTCCCCCCCCCCCTTCCTCTTTTCTCTTAAAACGTACCCCAACAATATCCCCCAAATCTTCCCCACCCCCCCCAAATCTTCCCCGGATGAAGTGGGCCCCCCCCCCCCCAGATTGGGAGGGGGGGGGGGGTGGCAGGGAAGAATGAGTCCTATGCGTCGCCGCGCGTTTTTTTTGCATTTGAGCACCACTTCATGTTACATGCTCATGCACTCACACGCACACCAAAACTCTACTCCCACATGGTGCTACAGAGATAATATGCGCTTACCATGCACAAGGATACTGCTGAATAAATAGACACTTGGTTCAAACATGTGTGTTATTTTCTCGTGTGCATGTTTCAATTTCAATTTCATGACCAGCAAAAGAAATGCAAGCACGCAGCTAAGTAATATTGTCCGTGGCCTAACGCAGGGCACAGGCGTGCAGCTAGGTTCGATGCCAGGAGACTGACAAAGGCCACAGGTGCACAACTAAGTCCTGTTTGCTAAGTATTCTACTTATCATCAGTCTTCGAATTCATTCTTATCATTCTTCCCAAAGGGACGGGTGACTTTTGGGGAATTCAAATATTGTTTGTTTTAATCATTTTATTTCTTAGACTTGCTCTAAGTATTCGAACCACTGCCAAAGGGACGGGTGCCTTTTTTGGAATTCAAGAGTCCTCTGCGCTAACTGTTCTACTTATCATCAGTCTTCCAATTGTAATTGTTATTCCCAAAGGGACGGTGCCTTTGGGGAATTGAAGATTGTTTTTGCAAATTATACTACTTAGCAAACCTCTTGTAATTGTTTTTCTCATGAGTTCCAAAGGGATGACTTTGGGGAATTCAATATTCATGTTTGCTGGTTGCTTTTGTAAACTATTCTACTTATCATTACTCTTCTAATGCATTCTTATCATTCTTCCCAAAGGGACACGTGACTTTTGGGGAATTCCAAGTTCATGTTTGTTCTAATCAGTTCATTTCTTAGACTTTCTCTAAGTATTCGAACCACTGCGAAAGGGACGGGTGCCTTTTTGGGAATTCAAGAGTCCTCTGTGCTAATTGTTCTACTTATCATCAGTCTTGAAATTATAATTGTTTTTCCCAAAGGGACGGGTGCCTTTGGGGAATTGCAGATTGGTTTTGCAACTTATACTACTTAGCATACCTCTTCCAACTAGTTTTCTCATGAGTTCCAAAGTGATGACTTTGGGGAATTCAATATTCATGCTTGCTGGTCGTTGTTGAAAATTATTCTACTTATCATAACTCTTCTAATTCATTCTTACCATTCTGCCCAAAGGGACGGGTGACTTTTGGGGAATTCAAATATTGTTTGTTCTAATCAGTTCATTTCTTAGACTTGCTCTAAGTATTCGAACCACTGCGAAAGGGACGGGTGCCTTTTTGGGAATTCAAGAGTCCTCTGTGCTAATTGTTCTACTTATCATCAGTCTTCTAATTATAATTGTTTTTCCCAAAGGGACGGGCGCCTTTGGGGAATTGCAGATTGGTTTTGCAAATTATACTACTTAGCATACCTCTTCCAACTAGTTTTCTCATGAGTTCCAAAGTGATGACTTTGGGGAATTCAATATTCATGTTTGCTGGTCGTTATTGAAAATTATTCTACTTATCATAACTCTTCTAATTCATTCTTACCATTCTTCCCAAAGGGACGGGTGACTTTTGGGGAATTCCAGTTATTGTTTGTTCTAATCAGTTCATTTCTTAGACTTGCTCTAAGTATTCGAACCACTCCCAAAGGGACGGG